ATTACATAAGGGGCTTTTGTCCATCTGCATTAGTGATATAAATACACTGGATTATGGTGACCTTACTAATTCGCTAAATCAGAGTGGAAAACAGGAAAAATATATATGTGAACTATCTATAAAAATTCTAATTTTATATCAAATAACTTTTGCCAATTACTGCATGTGCGATCATTTCTTCACTAGGAACAGAAGCCCTTTGAATGACAAATTGTTTCTATTTTATAGAGAAGAACATTGAAGCTCCAAAGTAACAGAGTCCTGAGTTCTACCACACTCAATGCCAAAGCCAGTGTTCACAGTACTACAATCTCTTGCATCATGATTTCCAAATTATTCTTAATATCTGATCCCTCTGCCCCCACTGCAAATCTAACTCAGTGTGACAATCACCATGATCCATACATTATAAATATTTATCCATAGATCTAGATTCCAAGTTGAGATTAAATGATAGTCATTGTAGAATGGAGTTTTCCTAGAGCCCACCAACTTTATGAAGCTCTATATTTCTCAAAGGAAAAGCTAGCACATGTAGTACTTTTTGTCTATTCTTATAACCCAATGCCAATAAATTATGTCCTTCCAACAACTCTATTGAAATAAGTCTGAAATTATATATCCTATAGATTGACCAATTAACTACGCACGCACAAACAAATTTTAAAAGTAACTAAGAATGCACCAGAGGAAATACTGAGTACTTAGTGCACATGGGAAAACACTCACATTATAATATTACGTATGAAAATGTCTTTATTTCCATAGTACCTTTCATTTCTAAGCAACGCATAACATTTTATTCTGCAATAATCATTTTATTCTGCAACACTTCATCATAATCCTAATGAGGACACTATGAATTAGGAATGTTTATCTCAGGGCCAGAGATATAGTAGAGGGGTTACGGAGCTTTCTTGCAGTTGGCTGACCCCGTTTGGAACGCTGACACTGAGTATGGTCCTCTGAGCACCATTGGGAATGATCTCTGGGCACAGATCCAAACGTAAGCCCTTAGCACAGCCAGCAGTGAATCCCTCCCTGCAAAATGTGCTTATTTGCATACAACATAGAAGAAAATTAGAATTCTGTGATATTGAGTGACTTACTGACCATGAAGTAGCATTATCTATGCATGATTGACAGTCTCTTGAGTCTCAATTCTGTTTTTTTTTTCTTGATTCTAACCCCAATCTTACTCCCTGCTGACCCCCATCCCAACCCCGACCAATCATCAGCACTGTCTTACTGGGACTACTGAGTGGTCCCAAATAGAGATACAAATAATTGAACAAAATGATTCAGCCCAGGTCAAAGCTTCTGTACTAGTCACACTTCAATTAATCATTTTTTAAAAAATTTGTAGGGGACCTTGGGAAGTTGTCGTAAAGTGATGGATAATAGCAAGAACACACACAACTCTCTGTATCTGCTATCAGGAATCTATCTCCTTTATCCCCAGGGTCTGCATTTTCTGCTAAAGTCTGATGCTCTTATCTATTAGCATTAGCCCCAATAACAGGCTCAGTTCTTGAGCTAACAACACACAGCTCTGGGCTGTTGTCATGACTCAGCAATCAAAACTTCAAGTTCAGTCTACCTGGTCCTGACCCAGCTTCAGGGCCAGTGCTTCTACCGCTCCTTTTTGCGCTTAGACTTACTAGGCAATCTTTCTGATTTCCTTTCAAGGTTCTCAGGAGCTGACTTTCCAGCTGTCAGCAATGTCTGTTGCAGAAGGAAAGAGCCATTCATGTGTTAAGTGCCCTAGGTCTTAAAAACATAGAAACATGCTGGAGAATGTCAGAATGGTTGGCTCACTAGAGCAAAGACCCACAGAAAGGCTGGCCAATTGACTGGAACTAAACAGAAAATGAACTGGAATTGCCTTTATTCCCCACAAGTCAACTCAAGGTAATCCACTGTCAATTAATATACATATATACACACATATACTTCACATACAATACATATAGTAACTATATACTTACAATACATATATTAACTATATCTTTAATATATAATACATTATATTATAAAATATCATATATTATAAAATGTATTATATATATCACATATAATGCATTATATATTAGATAATACAGTATTATAGTATATATAGTATTATAGTATATATATATGTGTGTGTACATATGTATATACAGCATTAAAGTATATATGTATACACACATACATACATACACACACCATGCACACATGCACATACACACCAACTGGGAATGTCCAGTCCTTAGAAATTCTGACATTCTACTACTGTTAAGAGGGAAAGCCCTCCCCACCTCCCTCCAAGCCCCCATGCCACTTTTGCCCCTTCTGTTTTCTGAACTATCACAAGAAGACTAACACCTCTCAACTCCCAAGCACTCTCTATCACAAACCAAAGCTAAAAAAGATGAAAGATATTCATGGACCTGGAGTCAGTTCTGACCGAGAGCTGTTTACCAGTGCTAAAATCAGAGCTGATAAGAAAGACTCAAAGTTACAGTTGTTCAGTGAGGGGAACCCTAGAGCTACCCGGGAGACGCTTTGCACATTGCATGAGCTGTAATCAGAAAATCCTGAGTTGGCTGGTACCCCACTTCTATTATTAGCCTAAAATAAGTGATAATGAAAGTGTTGCTATCGCTCGAAGATCCACTCATTACAATTATTAAATCGCAAAGACACAAAAGCCAAGATGCTATCCTGATTTTTTTAAAGCGATGATGTTGAGAATAATCTATGCAATTCATTTTCTTTTTACTAACACCACAAGTCTAAATATACCCACACTGGGTGAGAATGTGAATGGGAGGGAGAACAGTCAAAATGAAAGAGTCTTAATATAAAGAGGCACTAATTTGTCAACTTCCCAAACAGCATTTTTCAAGGGCTTCTTTATATTCACAACAATCCCAACACAAAATAGATGACATAAAATACTGTCCTGAGTGCCTCATACTGGTGATAAGAACTGCAAGCTACAAAGATGCTGACAAACCTACAGAATGGGAACTGTTCAAACAGGGTCTGAGAGACCTCCCACCTCAAGCCATAACCCACCGACACTTAGCAAATCAGGAACTGGCTTCCTCCTTACTATGGTCAGTGGTGTGTTCTAGTTTCTCTAGAACTAGAACTCCTGACTTTAACTTTTATGAGTCCCTGGTTTGCTCCACAAAGAAAATAAAATGTTATGGGGGGAGTCCCCAATGTTCAAATCATATAAAAATGAAAAAAAACATGATAATAAAATGCTATTGGAATCAAATAAAAGATAAATATGTCTAAGCAGAAATAGTTAATAAGAAATCTATGCCACAAATTATACTGCCAGGAGTTTACTAGTATGTGTGTGTGCGTCTGTTAATTTAGATATATATAAAATCAAGAGCACTATGTGGACGGTTAGTTACAGGATGATTGGGGAATCTTTTAACATCTGCCCTCCTTTAAAATACCTCTCTAAGACTCTTATACAAAGACATACGATAGATGACAGGGACAGCAGATGATAATAGCAGTATATAATGCCATTTCCATTTTTTTCTTTTCTTTTTTTTTTTTTTTTGTTCAGAGACTTTAGGAAATCCCTTTTAGGGAAAAAGGTGTTATTGATATCTTAAGTATGATGCCTGGTGTCTGTCAATTTAGATAAAAATCTTTGACCCAGTCAATAGTCTAAACAAATCTTCTATTAATGTTATTTCCTTCTCAATATCTATACATAGACACAGATACTTGGAGAGAAACATCTAGAGAGGCATTCCTCCACCTGGCTAACATTCCTTCCTCCCCTTCCATGAATATGTTTCCAGTCACACTCTGAGTTGACTAACATTCCATGACATATCACCATTTCTTTTAGGATAAGTCATCCATACGCACTGACTGGAGAAGATGAAAGCACTCTGGCTTCATTGGGGTCTCTGCATTTTGAAACTGTATTTTTACAAGCGCTTCTCACTTCTTGGGAGAAGCTGAGTGATGCTAGTGCAGAGATAGGAATAGCCACAAATCAGAATCACAGAGAGGAACACAATGAAATGGTATTTTCCCTTAATTAAATAACCTTGAGATGGTAACAGGTAAAAATAAACTATCCGCATGGCACTTTGAAGGGAGGAGGGGAGAGCAACTAACACAACTAATCAGTAGAATTACCAAGGGACTGAGTTAGGCAAAATGTTTGAGGAAAGTCAACTGAATTCCAATCTTTTCTGCTTGGGCTTCTATAACCAAGAGACTACAATTAACAGTCATTTGCAACTGCACTCTCCTGTCTCAAGCTCAGGGACTGTAAGGGGATATTCCAGAAAGAGATGCTAGTCATCATCAGGGGACAGTGCATTCAGAAAGGTTAATGAGATGCAGGAGCAGGAGAATCAGTACCAAAAAAGAGAGATTCAAAATACTAAACAATTTCCACTTTGTTCTCATTTGCTCTAATTAAGAGCTGTTGGAGCAGCTTTTCTGTATTCCACACATTTGCAACTCTCTAGAGCTGATTTAACTATTCAAGAAAAACATGAGTGTTATAGGGGAAAAAGTCGACTAATAAGTTATCATCAAAGTCTAGATTACGTCCCCAACCCCCTACTTTCAGTCTGATCAGACACATACTTTTCGCTTCTAACTCAGAGCTTTTGTTAGAAGCTTTTACTGATATATAATATATACATATATATACACATATGACATATATAATTTAGAGAGTATTTCAAGGAGAGAAGTTGACTCCCCCTACTTTAGTCACTGTGAAAATGTTAAATGAGTGTAAAAAGAGGAGGATAATGGGGGATGGTTATACAAATGGAAATAATCTCCTTGGCATGAAAATAGATCAAAATGCCACACACTGAGTTCTTTTGAGCATGACAATCTCTAAAAAACTGTGCTCTGAAACTGCCTATAAATTTCCCCAAAACAAACAGGAAAGCATCTTCTTGCCAAAGGAAAACAGGACTCAGAGAAGGTCTAAGTCGGTCTGTCCCGTGACTTACCTTCTTTATGGATCTTCAAAGTTCACCAGGAGAAATTGGAAAAAATCCTCGAGTTTGTCTTGCACTACTCTATTTTTCTTGTCTTCTTTTTAAGTCACACAGGAGAAAAATAATCAGTGTTCAAAGGGTCCATTTATCTGATCTTCCATCACCAGCAAAATTAAAAAAAAAAAAAACCAACAACGACCAAAAAAAAAAAAAAACAACGTGTCCAAGAGACTCCGCCAGAAAGTAAGCCAAAAACTCATCAAAGGCAGAGAGAGAGAGAGAGAGAGAGAGAGAGAGAGAGAGAGAGAGAGAGAGAGAGAGAGAGAGAGAGAAGGGGTGACTGGGGAAGGAGGAGGGTGGTGAAAGCTCCTGGCTCCAGTCTGAGCCCCAGAACCCAGAGAATATTTTCACGCTGTTGCAATCTCTGACGGCACGATCTACCTGCTTCGGTTGTCACACTCACACCTTGGCTTTCCCCCACACTCACAAACGCGTGCAAACGCACGCACACTCACACAGACCGGTGTCAGGAAAACTGTCAGTAGTAACGTAACCTCCAAGAGCAGCTGAGCGCTGCAGATGGAACGGCTCACTGTTACCTTCCCAGATCCCTGTAGGATCAAAAGAACATCCAAAAAATTCAGGGGGAGGGGGGAGGCGGGCAGTAGGTAGATTCCCGATCCCTCTCCCCCTCCCCTACTCAGGCAGATGTCTGCAGCCAGGAGCGGGTCAGTCAGCAGAGGTGTCTGCACGCAGGGTGCCCCGGATTATGGCAAGGTTATTAATCTTGGTGTGCTGCATCCCCCCCCCACCCCCACTACTCGGCAGCCTGCATTGAGATGATTGCCAGAGCTGTGTCTGTCCCTGTTCTACTGCATTTTGCTCAGCCCTCTGATGCTGCAAGTGAGACACAGTGGAGGCAGGAATACTAATAAGGTGGTTAGCTACAGTTTCTTCAAGGCAGTCGGCATGCGGTACAGTAAATGTGGACTTCCCAGGGCTCTGTGTGTGTGTATGTGTGTGTGTGTGTGTGTGTGTGTGTGTGTGTGTGTGTTTGCATGTCTGCAGGGAGGCCAATGAATCCATCTCCAGCCAGAAAGCGAGATGGCTTGTATATCCTGCCCAGGAGGACTCTATCTTCGGAATCATCACTGTCCTGCCATGCCATTGCCTATGACAGGATTTTGTTTCGGATCAAAAACAGAGGAAGGGGAGGCGGGGGGTGGAGGGTAACGGTTTAGAAGCCTAGAGCTGACATTTGAACAAGAAAGAGATGGGGGGGGGGGGGATGTCCAGGGAGACAAATTAGCTTTATAAATAGGCTCCAAGGAGACCAAGGCAAAATTTTAACATGCTGCTGCCCTAGCTGTTAAATGGAAATGCAAAGCAATTTCAAAAAGCAGCCCCAGCCTATAAATCTTGGAGCTGGCAACAAGTATCTGAATTTGACTGATGGGACTGTGGATAAATGGATTCCTGGTAATATAAAAAGTTTACTCATGCATTCTGCTTTGTAGCTATGCACTCAAAGTGTGTGAGGATCTGGATATTGTTCATTCATTCTTTAATATGGATTTAGACTTCCGCCATACAAAGTTCTACCCTAATACACAGCTTTTTATCAGCCAACTATCAAATTGTAGTGAATGTCTGAGTACCATATCACTAGTGGTTTGGCAGCTGACAATAGTGTCACCATACAGAATTCTCCTACCTGGAATGATGTTGGAGTTTTTAGAGCAAAGAAAGTATTAAATATCTCTTTTAGTTTGATCAAGCAGTGAAAGAAAATAGATATGTAATAGACTAAATGAATAATTCCTTGTTCTATGAAGAGTAAAATTTCACTCTTCTGTTATCTGTGAACTCAAATTAGAGTCCCTTTAATTTAGTTAAGGGTGCTCACTGTATTCCTTAAGGTGAGTTAAATTGGCAAGATCCCATTATGTATTGGACAGTTGGAGAAGGTAGATAAGGGTGAATTATGAACATGCAATACCAAGTCCTGACAGCAGATGTCACAAATGAGGATATAGGTAAAATTCTAACAACTGCAAATGTTTAATGTAATTTAGTAAATAGATTTTCATAAGATTTAGAAACATGAATTTGAAATTCTGGTTTTACATAAAATGTAAAAGTGCAAATTGGAATTTAGATAAAAGCTTCCCCAATATCTTTCTCAAATCACAATATACTAAACTCCAGTAATCTTTCATTGACAATAGAATGAACACCAAAATACTAGACCACTGACTCAAGTTAAATTGTCACCTAAAATTATTTCTAGAAGATATATGCTGTTTTTAATTCTGTAGAGTTTTTAAACATCTTGTAACAGAGAAGCTACTAGATAAAATACAAAAGAGTAAGCTTAGAGGAAGGAAACCAAGTTATTAAGATTCCTATATTAAATGCTTGCTTTAGGTTTCTACTTTAAAGCAATGTACCTGTTTCATCTTAAACATGTCTACGAAAAAATAATTTTAAAGGAGTTACTTATGTCAGAGTTAAGTATCAGTAATAAGTAGGCATGGAGGCAAATATATGAAGAATTTTGAATATTACTCATAAATTTCATTTAATTTGTCATTTTTAAAAAATAAAATGTATTTTTTTGGTCAATTGAGACTTTATAAACAAAAGACAATGAAACAGTCAAATATCAAGATAGTTTTAATGGGCATTAGTGTTCTGGAGCGATAGCACAGCGGCTAGGGCATTTGCCTTGCACGCAGCCAACATGGCGACCCGAGTTCGATTCCTCCGCCCCTCTTGGAGAGCCCGGTAAGCGACCGAGAGTATTCAATATGCCAGACACAGTAACAACAAAGTCTCCAATGGAGACGTTACTGGGCCCGCTCCAACAAATCGACGATCAAGGGAGGGCCTTTTTTAGTGTTCAGACAAACTTCAGTTAAGCCTTTTATCATTGGGATTTTTCTGCAAGACTTCTCCCTCAACAACTCCCCTCCTTTTGCTTGCAAATAGGACATTCATATGCATCTAACAGGCTTACTGTGAAGGTAACAGGAATGGGTTACTATTTATTATGTGTTCAGCATATTTCCTGATCTATAACTACTAAATATATCTCTTAAAGTAAATGCTATTCTCATGTTTTCTATGTTTGACTGTTTTCCCAATTTAAAAAATGGAATTCTTACCCAATAATTCCCAAAGGGGATTACTGAATGAAGCCTTTGACATAAAAGATTTTTTTAAATTTTATTTTTATTTCAGGGTGTTCTCAGCAGTGCTTAGGGGGTTCAGGTAATGAATGCTTTCCTAGTAATACTTGATACAGAAGACCACAGGACTCAATGGGGGGACCAGGATGCATTTCTGCTGGGACTTGTAATACCTGAGACCACAGGGCAACCCAATCAGAGCTGGAGATAGTGGGGAAGACCTATATGGCTACACCCAGTGGCACTCAGGGGCCCACAGCTGCTAGGAGTCAAACTGAAGCCAGTTACAAGCAAAACTGTCCTCCCATTTTGCTCAATGCGGGCACCAGTAATGTTTCACAACAAATTGTGAGAGTTGTTGTTATTGTTTTTGGCATATCAAACACATCATGGGTAGCTTTCCAGGCTTTGCCGTGTGGGCGAGATACTGTCGGTAGCTTGCTGGGCTCTACGAGAAGGGGCAGAAGAATCGAACCCAGGTAGGCCGCGTGCAAGGCAAACACCCTACCCGCTGTGCTATCACTTCACCCTTCAAGTGAGTTGTGGAGGTGGGGGGCACAAGGGGTGTCTCTCAGCAAGCAAAACATTTACTCCTAAACCCTGGGCAGTTAGCCCTAGCCCCAAAGACAAAAATTTAATTTTGAATTTACTCTTCAACTAGTTTTCCTCCCTCCCCTGTTGTTTTGTAAGCCTAATATACTGAAAATCACTTAATATACTGAATATACTGAATCACTTGTGAAAAGTTCATCATTTACCTGTAGATGTATTCACGCAATTGTTTTATGTGCTCTAAAGCTCACTAAAATAAAGAAACCTCTTACTTGATTACTTGTCTAGGCTCACCTTGAAATAGACTCAGCTGAAAGAGAACTCTGAACCAGAATCAGAACGGAAAAAAAAAATTAAAATCACCTGGCAGTTTACTGCTTTCCTATCAACACGGGCTTTGAAGCTGACAGTATCAAGGGGTGAAATGTAGTTGCGTAACTAAAAAGACTTAAAAAGAAAAAGAAAAAAAAAGAAATGAGTATGGTCTGTATATGAGCAACACCAAGAGAGACTACAACAGATTTGTATTGTCACTCAGCTCATCACTTTAAAATGGGTGACAGGATATTGAATTTCATGAAACAATTGTGACTCACCCAATAAATCCTTTGCTAAGGCAAAAGAATGCTTGGGTGGCACAAAAACAGACAGCTACTCCTGTTTGTCGAAAACCTCTGCAATTTGTCCTGTGACCCCCCAAATGGTCTCCTTGCCCCCTCAGGACAAGGAGGTCCAGAGGGACTGAAGAAGAGGAAGAGGCCCAACCCTCCAGATTGGCAGGTGACAGGTTTAATAAGGGAAAGAATTTACTTACCAGCCTTGTCCAGCGCCTCAGCAAAAGAAGTCAAATTTTCACGTTCTGCCTCCCTAGATCTTAAAATTTGATGGAAAGGCCTTGACGGCGTTGTCACATACTCAATCCTCATCACATCCTTTCAATATCTCAATCTCTCAAAATGCCATCCCGGGGGGGCCTAGCAATACAGCGATCTCCAGCACCCATCTGGTCCCTGAAGCCCTCCAGGGAGAGATCCCTAAGTGCAGAACAAGCAGTAAACGCTGAGCACAGCCAGGTGTGGCCCATAAACAAACAAAAATGCTTTCTGTGAATTGGCTCTTACTATAGCAACAAAGGGCAGAATTTTCTACTCCAATAAGTGTTGAGAAGCTTCTAAGAGCCTGGGCCAGGCTGTGGATCCAAGAGATCATTCCCTCTCCCTGACCTCCACAAACACAGGACTTCAATTAAAGGTAAGTTTCTTCTCTCTCTCTCTCTCTCTCTCTCTCTCTCTCTCTCTCTCTCTCTCTCTCTCTCTCGTTTTCCTTAACTTCCTTTTAATTTATTTATTATTTTGAATATTTTTTTAAAATTTTTATTAGTGAAATACCATGAGGTACAGTTGCAGACTTACAAATTTTTGTGCT